GTGGATAGGAGAAAAGAATATCAGAGGAATACAAATTGTGCAAAAAGATAATTAAATTAATGCAGTTATAGGGCCTAACAATGTTTTGCAGCTGAAAATATGTGTTTTTGTGACATCAGTTTTCTGTGAACACTTGTTTTTTTGTTTTTGTGGGGACCCTGTGTGCTCGCCAAAGGCAGAACAAACATTGCCTACATCACTTCTCACGCAAAACACTTGAGTAACCCAAAATGTTAGTGTTGAGGTTTTGTGTGATTTGTAAAAAATCTTGTTTTTATGGCTTTCTGAGATAAGTGGTATACTATTAAACCCTGGATATGGAATTGTGGTCAACAACCAGCCTGAGACTGTGACTCAACAGTACCTGCAACTTGCACCATGTTTCTCTGGACCTTACCTGTATGCAAGCTTTCCATGCTTGCTTGATACCTAGGGAAAACTGCAAGAATTTTTTGGCCCTTTCCCAGAGGAATTAGGTCATAAAGAAGTATTCAGCAAGCTTCTTGTTTATGTTGTTTAAGTTTCTAATTTACATTGTTTTTGTTATTTCTGTTGTTTATGTAGAACCTATAAAACTTTTTTTTTAATTTCCTCTCTGGAAACTCAAGGTGATCATGGTCCAAATTTTATTTGTAAAAGTAAGTATACAGGGATGGATGTCAGATCTAATTGAACAGACCCTGATGCTGATTAGTTTTTTCCTAACAGATACCCAAGCAGTCCAAACCCATTTTAATCTGTCCTTCCACCTATTCCCCTACCCTGTGCTGCTGGAATACCGCTTGTAGTCTTGGGAAACACTCTTAGCTGAAACAGGGGAAGTGATTTAGGTCTTGTGGGGCTCAGCACATGGTAACAGAGGAGCTCTAGGTGTGGTGTGTTTAGTTGTTGCGGTCACTAGAGAGAGCAGATGTGGTTCCTGTCCCTTTCTGTCTGCTGCTTCTGCCTTGCAGGGATGGGAAGGAGAATCCAAGTGGGATGATAGTTGGTTTTTCTCAGCAGCAGTGCTGACATAAATGGATGTCAAAGTACAGCCTCAGTGAGTTGAACCTGGCAAGCTCTGGAAGTGTTTTCCAGTGAGGCACAAATCTCTCACAGGAAGACACAGGTTCCATTCTGCAAATATTACTGAAAAAAAACCCACTAGTGTATTAGTGAAGAAAATGGGACTGCTTTTCTCTAAGGCACACATATTCCAGCCATGTGATTCAAAACACATTTTGAAATAGCAGCAAAGAAGAGAAATGCATGCAAATTATTTAGAATCAGTGTCTGACCATTTTGCTATGTTTGAGATTTATTTTGGTAGATTTCCATATATAGTAAGAAAGTCTACCTTTTTTTCAGTTCTGTAGTTCAAGACAAAATTCAGTTTTTTATATATTTTTTTGATCTGTCACTGGGAATTCAAAAAATAATTAAAAAAAAAAATCAAGTAAGCAACCTACTCTTAGAGGGAACAGAAAAGCAAAGTACAGTGTAGCAACTTCAGACACTAAAAGGCAAGAGAGAATATAATACGCTCTGTGCAATGCAGCTGTGGCTAAATGCTGATATGCACATTAGGACTAGATTAGCATCATTCAGATGTGACCTGCATATTGAGTAACTATCACAAGGATGGTACTATTGATAAAAAATTAAACTGCACGGTATACTTCAGATCTAATATACCACCGTTTTGCATTTTTAGATTCCACAGAAGTGTGGAGCTATTACTTCTAAAGTTGCATAAAATGCATGTAATTCTGTTTCCTATAAAAGATCAGATTGATACTGTGTGTTTATAAAACAGAATATAATATTGCTGTAAAAGTGATTGTCTTTTAGCCACTCAAAGACAAGAAATATTCAAAGAAATGACCATATAAATAGATTACTCTATTTCTGTTGTGAAACCGGTCAAAATTGAGTTAAGGTGTTGTGATTGACTTATCACATCTTATGTGGCTACAGTGCCTGCATGACTTGACTTTGGACATTTTAAAGTTCAAAAAGACCTTAGTATTGATAAATGCATCTGATTCACTTTCAAGTAAAATATAATTTGCATTCGACATGAAGGACATGTTTTGGAGGAAGTCCTCCTAAGAAGTTTTGTGTTAGTTAAGTGGTGAGCTTTAGGATAATTACCTTCTGCTGCATTTCCCCAACTTTTGACAATGTTTTTTCTTTTGAAAAATTAAAAAATTATGAGTGTCTCTGCTGAAATCACACAGGAAACAGAAGCACAGCTGGGTGTTGGTGGTTATATCCTGTGATAAATGTGCAGTGCTCTGGCTGTACACATTGCTTTCCAGTAAATGTGCCTGCCAGTGGGCCAGCTCACTGCCCACCTCAGAGGGGTGTTGCCTCTGAATTTTGGCATCTGTCACTAATATAAAAAGCCTGTGGTGCATATACTTAAGGTGTCAACGCTGTGTCAGAGGTTTGGGGCAGGCTGGAGGAGTTTTATGGTGAGAAGGGCTTGTCTGAGAATTGTGAAGGGCTGATGGTAGTCATCGAGTTAGCTCTCCTCAGGCCATACTCTCAGGCCTCACAGACATTCTAACGTGCTTTCTGCAGCAACACCCATTGATGGAAGACAGTTTTTCAAGCTGTGCAAAGGTAAAACAGAAAATTTTGTACCTCTGGATGTGCAATGGGGGAAAATTCATTAAATTTGCATGGTAGACACCACAGAGAGTTGCTTTCTTCTTTATCTGCGGGACTAGAAAGAATTTTCTGTCCAGTCATACCTAACAGATCTCATAGCAAAACCAGATCTGTATCTAAATATCCACCTAACATCAGGGAGACACATAGAAACGCTGTACATACATCATGAGATTTGCACATGTGCATAGTGTCTCTATGCATACACATATAGTGGCAAAAGTGTATTTTCTTTTTAAAAATCTATGTCTGAATGTAAATCTGCCACTCCTATTTAGTAGACAGCATCAGGCTTGCTCAAGTGTTTTCTGTTTTATGGGTTTGGGTTTGTTTTTTTTGTTCGCTGCTGTCAAATGATAGATCACCAGCTTTTTTCTAGTGACTTTTAGCTCAATGTTCAAAGGTGATATTGAACTTCTGTTAAGACTTTGCAGAGTGTAGTGAAGTAAATCATATGCCCCTTATAACTGAATGATTGAGGTGCAAAACCTAAGGTTCTTGCTGAAGGTAATAAACAGACATGGTAAGAGAATTGGGATTTTGGAGTTTGGATTTCCAGACACCTCTACACAAACAGTAGATCCAGTTAGGGAATCACACTTTGAGTGCTATAGACAGAAACTCAGATTTTCTAAGTGAAAGTATGTACCTTAGCCTTCTGGTTACTCCATCATATACTAAGTTGATCCACTAAGGGTATGCTTTCTAAATCAGACACCTTGTAACAGAGATGGAACTTTTAATTCCTGGAATAGTATAGATTTCTTTGTATACTAGGCTAGGAGCTTAGAATACAACAGTGGGCTATTGATTTAATTACTTACAGGTTAATATACATATTAGTTTGTACATAGGAGAACAACATCTTGTGGTTGCTCAAATATTGCTATTAATGAGAGCATAATATAGGTTCTTTAATAATTTTTTTAGAGTTGTCATAATTGATTCTGTTTCAAGCATACCTTTTTACATATTTATCATGTCGACAATGCTGCTGAACAATTCAATTAAAGAACACATGAAAGCCATAGGAAGGTTACTACTGGTGTGAGAGACCTGTCTTATTTTCTCTACAATGCCATCAAAAATGGATGTTGTTCATTGCTATCGCACGTGTACTACCGTGGTTTCTGCAGTGCAAAATAATCTAAAGATGTGTTAAAGAGAATATATAGTTTGGAGGACTAGCAAAAGCTTTCATTTGTAATCATACTGCCTTTGGGTTGCAGATCGTCACCAGATATCATCCGTTGTTCCCCTTGCTTTTTTCACTTGTGTTTTGATTAACATTACCACTAATGACTGAAAGTATTTCTCGGATCCTTTTCCACTGCTGCTGTACAGCTTAATGTGCAGCATGCACAAGTCAAGACATTCACCCTTAGCTTTAACTTCACTCCCTCTTATCCAGCAATGGAGATTACAGCACCTTTAGCAATTCAATTTATGATGCACGAATGGGACAGGAATCAGTATGTATTTGACAGCTTTGTTAGCCCTACTATGCTAGCATGAATTGTTAGTAAACCTCCATTTTATCCTGTGGCCATGCAGTCTTAAACACAATGAATCTGAATGAACCTGATTAGCTGTGGTCTAATCAATCACTTTGCAGGACTGAAGCCCTTGTTAACATAAACAGCTGGTATAACTCCTGATGCATACAGGAAAGTTATGTTTGCTTCACACTTCATTGTTTAACAAAACTTCTCTGCAGTGCATAAATACTTTATAACGATTATTTTACATTTAAAATAGATCTTAAAGGTCTCTTACTTCAATAGCTACACAAATGGAATGAGTGGTAGAGGAATTGTGCTCTTCTAGTTAGTTGCAATGAATTAACCACACTGTCATGCAAAAAAAAAATAATCTACAGAGGTCAACAAAGGAAATTATCAGATTTTTTAGATATTGTTCCTGGTATCTGTAAACATTTATTGTAAAATTAATGTAGAAATCTGTACTAGTAAGTTTTCTTAATCATGCAAGTTTTATGAAAAAACTTTTACATAAACAATGGCTTTAAAATATATATTTTCTTTAAAAAAATCCCACAAACCCTTCTAAGTTATATTTCATCAGATAATGCCTGCCACAGCTGTGTGGTTATGGCTGATTCTACATATCTGCATGCAGTGGGAGAAGAGCTGGCTGGGATTTCTGTTGTATAGGGTCTTCCTTGAGTCAGAGATGTAAATCAACCCACTAAAATGGGAATTCAGAGCAACTGATGAAGTGTGTAGGAAGAAGGAAAATGTCGGATTATTTTCTGGCACTGTAAGGAATGCAAACCTCATGCTGAAATATGCTTGAATGATAGCTCTTATGAAATATGTGCTTACCAAGAAATGAGATCCATTCATGCCCAATTTTTCTACAACCACAGCAGATTCAGGCATTCCTAACTGAGGTGAGAAAAAATAGAATTATTATAATAGTATGAAACATTTGTTTCATTGACATTTGTAAACAAACTAATTAATATTTCCATACTCAAATACTTAGGGTTGTAAAAGTCTTTATACGCTTTGGCATGGATAATTAGAAAAAGAATATTGGACAGGATAACTGTACTGCTTAGAGATAGGTAGTGACTTCCACATAAGAGAGAAGACACAGTATTACCTCTTTCTTAGGGAGAAAGATTGCAGGGGATAAGGGCTGATACAATTGTGAATGGAGTAGACAAGGTGAAATTATGAAGCAGCAAATGTAACATAAATTGAACAAGGATCCTAACAGAAATATGCTGTGGAACTTTAATTGCTATGGAATAAGAGGGGGTGAGCATTAGAAATTGGTTAAAAGGTCAAAATGTGACAAAAGTCCATTAGTAGCCATGCCATCATCTCAAGAAAAGGTTGTATCGCTGACTGCTGGAAAATTAAGGCTATCTAAGAACACTCTGTTACGTGCCTGCTTACCAACCTCTGTATACACTGGCTGCTGCTTGGCTTCAGCACCAGATGTTTGGGTTTAAGTGTGTCTTGCAGTTCCTGTGGTAGATGGGAATTCCTGGAAAGAATTCAGGTTCCAAAACGGGAATTCTTTTTTGTAACGTGGTTATGATGGTGGTGTTTTTAAACAAAGTTGATGTTCATATAAATTAAAATGAAACAGGAATATCCAGAAATGATATCTCTTTGACAGAAATGAAATAGTAATTTGGAAAAAAAAGTGGACACATTGAATTTCCTTTATTGAAAAGGAATGGAGCAGGACTGAAAATGTCATAAAAAGCTCAGTGTGTTAGATGGTTTAGCCTGGATTTTCAAAGACATTACATTGTTATGCATGAAGAGAGGGAAAAAATTTAGATATCTTTTCTTTAAGAATGTACCACTCCTGAAATGAGTTTTAGTATTTGTAATGCTCAGCTGTAAATTTCTGTATTGACCAACTCAGAGACTGTAATGACCAACTCAGAGACTAACAGAGAAATATTAGTAAAAATAAATATTTCTATGAGAATAATTTGTGACTTTTCTAATATAATTATTTATTTCTAAAATACTTAAAATTTATCATGTTTAAAACCAGTCAAAGTGTATTTTATCTATTTTTTTGATATGAAAATTTCATATTCAGACATACTTTTGGACAGTTTAGCCTATATGCCAATCTGCTTGAGTTTATAAATTGTCCTTTGATACTATAATTGGGAGAGCGCTGCTTGTTTGTAGTACAGAATAGATCACAACTCAGAGAGGGTTGCTGTGGGTGTTGGACAAATGGTTGGTTGAGGGATGTGTTAATTTCCCATCAGTTGCACTGATGTGGATAGAGGAGCAAAGGATTAAGGTAATGCACACTTTCTGCTCTTGGCTTTTGCCCATCTATTTCTAGATATTGGCTCTATCTCTGGTTATTGTCTTTGACCTGCTTTTATACTTGGCCTTCTGCTGTTAATCAATCATGTAACTTATGCGTAAGAGAAAACTTGACTTTTCACATGGTTGGCTTGTCGGACAGGCAGATGTCTCACTAGTGCTGCTTAGTGATGACCACAGAAACTTTAATTTTCTTACTTTAACTCCATAGCATTAAGATCAGTACTGGGAAGAGGGACTAGACTACGTGGTAAACAGAGACCAATAGATAAACTCTGAAGCAACATGGAATATCTCAGTGTTGTTACAATTATAGCTTAGATGCAAGATAACAAGGGAATGCATGCACATGGCTAGCAGGTTTCCATTATCATCTTAATTTAATTATGAGGAAAAAAGCAAAATCAATAGTGTTAATTATTTTTTAGTAGTGAAGTTACTGATATTATACAAAATGCCTTTCATGAGGCTGGAAATGCTTTGCAGAATGGCTAGTTAATAACTTCTGTACTTATGACATACAGATCTGCTTTGGAAACATCATTAAGACTGTTAAGAAAATACTAAAATTGCACTGTATATATGACCGTATGTGTTGAATGTACATATTAAGACCCGGCCTCAGTCACAGCACATAAAATTGATGTGACTTTCTTGAACTGCTGTTACGTATATTGTGTTCTGTTTAGTGCTTCTTGTCTGCTATCTTGTATACCTGTACTACACAGTATTCAAACTTCCTCTGAACCCAGAATGTTGGTTTTTGTGTTTTTGTTTTTGTTTTTTTTTTTTTTCTTTTTTCTGAGCTGTTCTACAACATTCTTTTTAATTGTCTGAGTGCTTCAGAAACATTAATTGCTTTTTCTATGACCACCCTGTGAAATGAAAACTCTATTAGTAAGAGAAGTTGAGGTTCATGAGAAATAAAACTCATACAGTATCCAGTGGTTTTGGATGCCGAACTACAGCTATTTAGGATCTGTGATATATACATGTATATTTTCATATTCAATATTTTGGCATTTGTACCTTCTCAGCAGAGCTGCCACTGTGGTTGCAACTCTCTCCTCTCACTACTTCTGCAAATCAGAGCCTGGAATTTCAAGTCAAGTACTCAAGGAATGTCAGGTTTTTTTCTGTGTGACTTGAATGGCTTCTGGTAAAAATTCTGAGCTGGGGCAGTGACAGAATCTGATATTTCAAACCAGAATTAAATTAACATAACCATTAATTCAGGGTCTCTTTTTCAGCAAGCCCTGGCCTTGCACACCTTACAATTTCTGTAATGGCCCAGAGTATTGCACAAACATACTGGTTTCTCTGCATTAGAGAGGCAGTTTTTTGTGAGTGGAAAAGGTAGTACATGAAGAAATGATTAGACTATCATGATCTGTATGTAAAAGGGAGCAAAATGAGGTTATAGAGGTAATTCCAGTTCTGGCAGATTTGAATGCTTGTTTCTGAAACAGCGTTATTTTAGAGTTCATGCACATATATGCCCAGTCTTGGGAGGGGGCGGGGGAGAGGGGAGGATCCAGAACATCCCCTGGCACATTGGCTGATTGTGGAAATGATGGTAGTACCTGGTACTCTGGCTCTCTCTGGAGTGTTGGTAGCAGGAGTTGAACAGCTCTGTACATGGGGGCTGCAGGCAAATGGCTGCTACTCCTCAGTGCTAGTCTTTGATACACAGAATGGCCAAGCACTTAATGTTGGTTATACTGTAGTAATTAGATCACTTAGCTGCTTTAATCAGTGATGTAAGTGTAAGCATAGGAATTAACAGCTTTCTATAAAGTTGGAAGACTCTCTCTTAACAAGTACAAAGCCAGCAGTTAAGGCATGCATGACGAAATTTCCCTGGAAGCCTCTGAGTTGCTGAACAATTGTTACTAATTTTCTGTCTTGTATTCTGCTGTAGAATTGCAGGGTACTTTAAAATCATTATATCTTATATTAATTAGTCTGACTTTAATCCTCTGAGTAGCTGTTCACAGTAATAAATTCAGTTTAGCTGATACATTGTCACTATGGTATGAATTAATTCCATGGAACAGGTTGGCTTTTTCCATGTGAGGATGATGGTCCACCCATGATACATCTGCATTGTAAAACTGTTTATGGTTTGTTGGCTTTGTTTGTTTTGGTGTTTTTTTTTTTTTTTGTTTTGTTTTAATTGTACATGAATGATCAAATGTATTTATGCACAAGGCAAAATGAAAAAATAATAATACAAAATGAACATTTTAAACTTTTTCCTACTTTTATGTGGCTAGAAAAGGAACTGTTGTAGAAATACTTCATAACACTGTATTATTTTCCCTGAAGATTGTATGTTCCTTCAGTTGAAAATGACAAGAAACCTTAATAACAATAAATTCTCACTGTTGGTGGAAAGCAGGTACTGAGAAAGATTGGTGCTTCTACAGTTAGGAGTAGGATAAAAACAAGACAGAAATATCCTATACAGAAAATTATATAGAGAAACTTGCATTAAAAAAAAAAAAAAAAGAAGAAAAGAAGGTAAAATGAGACTATACATCAAAATGCAGTGGATAGACATTATTGTGTAAGTTAGTTACAGGTAGAATTCTAAAATCTGAGTCATAGTATTCAGGAAGTTACAAGAAGAAATCTGTTATCAAAAAAGGATATATCATGGAGGATATATTTTATATATCTTGGAGGAGATTATTCAAGTAGTGAAAGGATGACTGAAGAAAAGTCTGGAATATTTTGTGTAATTCAGGCTATTTTACATATACTGGAAAAGACATTGCAGAACTAGGAAACATAAGCAGACAAAGGAATGATTAAAAAAAAAGAAAGCTCAGGTACCTTAGACTTAAGCAATATCTAGAAACTACTGTGGGTATATATGAATTGAGAAGAAAAGATGAACAGTAGATTCTTATTGACAAACTGTAAATTTTAAAGCAATATTCAAATATAAAGTTGAGCCACTTTCACTGAAATGGTTATTTCTTCCCAGCAGGAAATAAATTGGGGCATGAAATAACTCTTCTATTATAAGAAATATCCCTGTGAGCTAATATTTTTATGTGATTTGCCATGTAGGAGATCTTAGCTAGCAGCTTCTACTATGAATTAAATTTCTACAAAAAACAGGAGAGCACCAAGAAAGTCAAGTAATATTAATAAGTTCTTGGGGGTGACAATTGCTGACTAATCTGTTTTCAGTACTTTTGAGTATCTGTGCTAGATTTAGGATAACATATCTGATTTTCAAAGATAAATCCAGTAAGAGTTTCTGCTAGCTGAAACACAGACATTCAGTACCTGTCTTAGGAGATCTGCAACTTGAAAAGCTGTCCAGTTCTCAAACTCCTCTTGAAATGGTAGTTTTGCAGCCATGTTGCTGTCCAGTGAGAAAGACTTGATCTGTAGGAGTAACACTAAACCGTTGCTTCACTGTTTGTTACTGAGCTGCAGTAGAAATCCTAGGAGGAAGTCCTTTTTGCAACTTTTTTTCCGGTTTGCTCACTTAAAGTAAATGCCTATAAAGGGTGATTTAGGAAGTAACAGTAGTCTTCTGAGTGACTGTTTCCAGTATAAGGAAACTGTAAATTGTTAAATCAACATATGCAAATATCTGTCATTACTGACATCAGATAAATTCTGCTGAAAATCAGTGTATAAACTATTTCTGAGTCATCAGCATCTTAGAGGTTTAAAGGTTTAAACTATTTTTCAAAAACAATTAGTGATAGCTGTCTCTTGCCTGCCTTAAACTCCTTGATCCAGCTGCTTGGATATTCCTTCAGATTGCATTTGACTGATTTGTGCGTTTTGACCTACTGTGCTGTGGTGTTTAGACAGAAAAAATAAAGCTCAGCTGCAGAACTCCTACTTCCGTATTGTCACATCATATAATCTCATTCTTTGTCAAGTTCGGGCATCATACTTTTGGGGTTAAACAGGTCACTCAATTACTCTAAGGTGATGTATGATCTAAAGTGGTTTTCTTTTTTGTTTCATTTGGTTTGTTTGTTTTTTGTTCTTTTTTCCCCCTCTCCCCCTGTCATTATTATTACTGCCAAAGAACAAATTGTCAATACATTCATTCCAGTGCTACATTATCTTTTCAAAAGGTAGGGCTAACATAAAATGCTTGTACTGAGTCAGACCACAAGCTCATCCAGCCCAGCATAGTCTTTACTGACTGTGGTCAGAAGTGAGCTACCTAGAAAATTGTATAGAAGCAGGGCAAGCATGTAAGACTTCCGTGGTATTCTCCCAGTCTTCAACCATTTTGAATTAAGGGACTTAACAGTCTGTATGTGGCTTCTACATATGCTGCATATATGCATATCACATATGTTATACCAAAGATTCCCCACTTTGAAGCCATGACCATTATCCTTTAAAGAGGGAGATGTGCAGTGGACCGTGCAGGGACAGCCAGGAATCGCTCCTTGGCTGCAGGAGGCTGGAGACACATGCTTTTAGTGCGGGCTGGAGCTCAGAGTTGAGAGGCAGCAGAGCCAAGGAGGCTCAGGATGGACACTTCTGCCCCTTCCCAACCCTCTCCCTGTCCACCCGTCTTCTCCGAGCTGCATCCCTGCCCCACTCGCAGCCCTTCTCTGCCTCTTCACCTCTAACACAGAAATACACTTCCAGTTTAAGAGGAGCAGCATAAGCAATTATTAAATTGGAGAAGGAGGCAGGGCATGTATTCAAAAATGGAGCAAGGGGGAAATGTTTGAAAGCCATTGCTTTATAGAATGGGCAATAAAATTGCAAAGATGCAGCTGCAGCTGCTGAAACAAACCCAGATTATTTTGCTCAGCAGTTCTGAGTTACTGCAACAGGACAAATATGAAAGCTTCCATAAAAGGCTGGAGTCCAAGGAATGTTATATTCTGCTTTCCAAGTACTCTTCCTGTTTTATTTCTCAGTGCAAAACAGATTTGGGGCACATGTTCAAAGATTAAAATGGACTTCAGCTAAGTTGAAATGTTTCATCTGCTATCTTTTTTCACATTTCCTGCATGTGTTCTTGCTGTTAAGTGACTGACAGGTCAGTTGTTGCTAATGAATACTGTTAACTCTTTGCTATCATGTAACTTTGCAGAGCGTTGAATCTGCCAAAACTCATAGTCTTGGAATTTCAGAAATGCAGAATTGAGATAGAACCCCTTGCATCTTAAATTTGCCCTCCTCAGAATAATCTCCAGGTGCCTGCCTGGCTGTGACACTGTAAGAAAATCTATGCTGAATTTCATAGTGTTTCATAGTGTGTGCTGTGAGTTGTTCCAAGGGGGGCAACATCTCCCTGGATGATGGGAAAGAGTGATACTAGCTTCCACTGTGTGTAGGACCAGAAGAGAGAGGTACACGTAGTCCTTAAGAAATTCCGCTTGGCTACTTTGAGTACAGGAGGGATTGTGTCAGTAGTAGTGTCTTCATGTGTGGTGGAGGTGGGAAGCAGCTGGGTGGGAGATATAGGTGAGGTAGAGGTGTAATGGTTGCTTAGGGGAAACAACAAGATAACAGATGGCATCAGGTATGAAACATGAATAAAGTGAAGCACAGCAATGCTGTTATTTCTTCAGTGTGGGCTGAGTTTGGTTACTGATCAGGATTAAGCAGTTCTCGTTCAGAACATCTCATAGGCAGATTAAAAACAGTTTTTAAGGGATTTTGCAATTCAGTACATGCTGCCAGCAGTACCTGCTCCTCTTCTTCCTACGATTTCCCTTTAGGCCACAAGCTTTTTCAGAAATACTGTCATGCAAGATGCTGCTTCTTGCTGCCTGCTGCCCTCCGCTGTTATATTGCTACTATTCTTGGTAGTCTGCAGTGAGAGCTGAAGCTCTGCCCTGCCAGTTTACCCACCTTGCTGTGCCCAGGCCTCCTCCTTCTCCCACTTGGCTTCTCTCTGATTGCTGTCCCCCAACACTAACTTCTGGCAAATTCTCCTATTGTTGTCTGTGTTGACATTGCCTTCATTTGTATTCTGGGTCCTCAGGACAGTACTCTCAAGAGGCCAATTTTTATGCAGCTCACCTCTCTCCACTGAGTGAGACAGAGATCTATTTGGGAAGGTCATGTTCAGTTTTGTGTTCCCAAAGGGGCTGTAGCAGAGGTGGTTGAACCACAGGGAATGTAGCTTGCAAGAAATACTTTGCCCATTTGTGTTTTAGTCAGATTAAAAGTTACAAAACTGACAAAAAAATATTTTAAAACAGGGACATGTGGAGGCTTATCTGAGATCCTGCAGCTAATCTCTTGATGATGATATTGATGTTGGCCTGATCAATGCTGTAGTTTTCCCTCAAGTGTGAAAATTGAGAATATTATTATGCATTTCCACTTGCTTTCCACTATTCTCAAGGGGATTATTTCAAGAATTGTTGTCTAGGAGGACCCCAGATTCGGTTACAAATTCTACTTAGTACCCTCATACTTGTAGTTACTCTATGCAGTGCATCATCTTTCATGGCAATTCAAGTAAATATGAGCACCTGAGCATACATTGTCTGTGTGGGCTACGGTGGTGGGATCCTTAAGTGGTATACTGAGGCTTCCAGAATCCACCAGACAAAGACAGGCCACAGATGCTGTTTCTTTCCAAACATTCAGGTGCCAACGTGTACCTTTCTAGCAGATCATAAAGACTTAAATCAGAAAAAGCACTAGCCCTGGGCAGGTCATGCTCACTTGCTACTGAATATTTCCTGGAGCCTCTTGACCTGGCATGAATGCTGGCCGACTTAAAAATATGTTTGGGTATGTGAAGAATGTAATCTTTTATTTTAAACTTGTATCTAACTGGAGCCATCAACACTTCATCTGTACTCTACAATTTCATTCCTCAAAGGTAGAAATCTGATTCTATATGTTAAGAAATTTATTTTTTCTGGAGCCCTTAGCAAAAATGACATCTGGTACTTGAGAACTACCAGATTCCAGAGAAAACTTAGTTGATATGTGTGTTTTATACAGCAGGTAATTTGACCTCTAAACAGAAATTTGTTCTTATGTATAACTTGTACATAAATCAGAGTTAACATATCTTTAGAGTATGTATTTGAATGAATTCTTTTTCCTACAGTCTGAAATATGCAAGCCACATAAAGGGCATGTTTTTACAGCCTTACAGGTCTAGGAGTTTCATAAAGTAAGTTCTCAATTTGTGATTTCATAGAAATAGTTAATAAGCAGTATAAAAACTGGTTCCTAGATCATACCACTGGCCTTTCTTATTAAATAGAAGTATATATTTTCATGAGCATAAGCACTGAATGTATTAAACTTATTTCAAAACTTTCAAAGTCAAGTTGTTTTCAAAAACCTGTAGCAGCTGCAAACAACTTATTTTACTGGATGTAATGCTGGAATACTGCTCTCAGAGAAATATACTTGAACACAATAGCTCAATGAAGAATCACTGTATGTAAAATACGAACCATTGTCACTGTTTTTTTTTTGCCCATTTTATACTAAAATAATGAAAGTAATATGACTTACCATATGCTTATCTTTCTTCTCCCAGGCACACATGTTGGAGTTGGTTTCAAAGAAGTTAAAGGAGCAGTTTCTCATGTCAGCTCTTCCTCCTTAAACTGTCCCATATGTATTTTGTTGTTGCTAGTATGATTGACAGGCTTGGAATTCATGGTGGGTGGAAGAAAAACATTCTTAAAGAAAAAAGCTAGAATAATCTCATAGTCTAAGTAAGTCTACAAATAATGTCAGAAAATGAAGGCTTACTTAGAGCTGTCTGTCTAGAAGTGTGATAAAATTTTGCTAATTGGTTTTGTCTTTTTTCATTTAACAGGAAATAAAAATAAAAACAGAATCAACAGAAGTCATAGTCTCTGGAAGGGACCTCAGGAGGTCTAGGCAGAGCTTCAGCAGAGAAGCAGGATCAAATACAACTAGAGCAAATTGACTCAGTCTTGGAAATCAGTTTGATAACCTGTTTTCCTGTGAGTTCTTGGGGAAGCATCAGGTTTACCATGTCCTTGGGTGGCACAGCACAATAATAATAAATAATAAATTCTGTGCTATACTGCTGGAGTGTGCAAGAGAACGTGCCTGTTTGTAAGGATAATTGCTGTCTAAGCACCAGGTGGGCTGTACCTGGACATCCTCTCTTTCCTGAAAAAGCAAACCCAGTTTCATTAACATTTGTTCATGAGTAGTTATTTAGGAAACTCTTGTTTTGTCTTTTCATTCTGGGCACAATCTTCAATTTGGCTCCATCTTAACTGAAAAATAGGGTGGCCAAACTGGTCCCAATATATTATTTTTTATTCTGTGGTAACCACTTCTGTCTCAGTGATATCCTGATGTACTTTAGAAACATGCTTATTAACAAAATACTGAAAATAATTCAGGCCAGAGCAAATTCCTATGGGTCCCTACTTGAAATACCCATTGAGTTTGAAAGTGATTCACAGATACTTTCTCAGTGTGAGTCAGATGAGTACTTACAATATATGGTACTTTCATCACATTTCTCTAGTTTGTATGTGATTTTTTTTTTTTTTTTATATGAGACTCCATCAAAAGCCTTAGTGATATGTACTTTGTGCCCCTTACCTACTACGTAGCTATCATATCGAGGACTGAAATGAGGCTGGATTGACAGAGTTTGTTCCTGACACATTAGTTTTTATTGCAATATTAAAGAAATAATTTATAAGTATATTGAGGCCCAACATCTGCTTCAGTATATTTGTGACAGTTGAAGTCGGGCTGACTATTCTGTAGTTTGCTGTCCTCCTTCCCCCACTCATCTTAAAGGATGGATGTTTGCCTTTCTCTAGTTACTATGATTTTACTGACCTATGTTAAATCCTGAATTCATAGGACTCGGAGTTCAAGGATAATGCTTTGGGTAGTTCTTTACATAATCTGTATGGAGAATTTCATTATGCCATTCTTATTTAAATTTTTAATCCACCTTAATATTGATAATAAATATTCTAATCCTGCCATAGCTGATATCAAAGTTAAGCATCTGTTCACAATCTTTTCCCTGAAGAGTGATTAAATACTTCAGTTTTCTCCCATAATTATTATTTACTTCCTTTTTTTCTACTAAGGTGTGGATCTGTAACTCCCTCCTGTTTTTCACTTACTAATATTTCAGGAGCCATGCTGACTTGAGTGGACTTTGAATGAATCTGTGAGAGAAGTTGCACAGGCTTTTCCAACGATACCACAGGTATGCACTAAGGGAAGGAGATTCTTACAAAAATATTTTTGCAGAAAGAAATTATGTACTTCAGACTGTTTAGCTTAACTACATTCTGGCATGTGCCTTTATCATTAAATTGCTTTTTGGTTTTCAATATTAGTTTTTTTTGGAAGTTCTTGTTGAAATTCTAAAAATCATGCAACAAGAAGGTATTAAAAATCACTTCTTTTTATAGAGCAATGATGTATTGCTTAAAATTGACATTTGCTCTTACAATAATAAAAGTGTAATTCTGGATTCATAACAACTTTTGTAATGGTGTGACCTATCTCAGAGTTTGATTGTAACTCAGAACATAGCAGACTCGACAACATTTTCATAGTATTGCAGAAGTGAGGATTAAGAGTTGTAACTGTTTCCGTATGACAACATATACTCCAACAGTGTAAACAATGTACTATTGTTTTTTGAGTTGCAGTGGCATTTTCTCTCTTTTTTTTTTCCTATTATGCCAGCCAATTATATGAGGTATGAAAATGGAATTTGGGAGTCTTAGGTTCCCTTTGACTGAAGTAGATTAATTTCTATGATTAGGTAAGTAAATTAGGGAGTTTTTCAGAGGCCAAAGAGAACTGTGCCTACCTAAATACTTCATGGATTTTTGCAAATCTTATTTTCTGTCCTAGTGTTTTCCTCCATCCTCGTTTCTATGAGAGGATTTAGTACTGTAGCAGGGAAAACCATAGGAAGCCTTAATATATCAATGGTTGCCCAAATGTTATGAAAGCTTTCATGTCATAACATTAGCATGTGAGGTTTGTAGATGTCTGTTCTGTTTGTTTTTTTTTTTTTTTTTTTTCTTCAGTAAACAGTATCTTTCCAGTTCTACTAACTGCATGTTGTAGTCGTCATTTTTGTGCACTGTTTAAATTGTAATACAGAGCAAAAATCCATAGAACTTCTTTAAGCTCCCAAGTCAACATAAAATTTATTGGAGCATTCTGGCATCTAGACTGTGTTACTGAAAAATGATTAACTGTTCATGGTAAAGAACAAATAACATCTATTTGCATTACTTAATTGAATTTTCTCTCTGTGTAGCCTTAAACAGATGCATTTCCTTCTTGTGATGGCAAAAGACCCAGACCTGAAAAAGCTTCAAATGGGAGAGAACAAATCCCACAAAAACCAAACCCCAGACCCAAAAAACTTTGGTAAGAATGGTTAGAACTGTTACTATACCAAGGAGACTGTTGTTGTACATGGATTTGAAGTCTGTCACCTTTAAATCACTTCCACTACATCCACTTTACTGCATAAATATACCCCTTTCTTTATTTCACTTTTTCAACCCATTCCTGGAGAATGTCATTTCAGCTGAATTTTGATTATTGCCAAATGCTGGGTTTTTTTTGTCCACTTGTGTCATAGAGATTGGATACACAGCATAAAAACTATTGTCTTCAGGACAGTTGCTCTTTGTATTATCACTCAGTGTTCTAAAAATCTTTTTATATGGCTTTTGATTGTTAGTTTGACCTGCTCTTTGAATCTGGCAACAGATTCAGCCATTATTCTAGACAGATTTTCCCACAACTAACCATGCATTAAAAATATACTTTTTCTCATAGGTATTTGTTTGTAACATGAATTTTGCACCTAGTTTTCTTTTTATTTTAAAAAAATCATGGCTTTTACTAGTACAATAAAATATAACAGTTATAAAACCTCAACCTGCTACACAAGTGACATTGTTTATTAGAAATTCTCTTTGATTTTTTTTTTTTTTTTTTTTTGAAGGCTAAAATTGATGCTGTAGTGCTTGGTTGTGATACCCGTCTCAAGTACTCAGTATTCTTTTCAATTTAACTGAGCCACTTTTTTGATTTTTATTCTTTTGAACACCTTGGCAGAACTTGCTGTCAGTTCCCCTTGATTCATATGCTGGCTTGTATAGATTGCACTTATTTTATATCGTTTCTTTATAGAACATCTCTTTGAAATGAATTTGTGTGTTGACTATTCTAATAAAATATAGGAAAATGTGTGTGAACAGATTTCTGTCTGGTAACATTTATATGCATTAAAATCTAGTGAGTAAATTTCAAAACAGAAAAGCAATAGTATTTCAGTATCTTGCCTTATCATTTAAATAACATTCTTAGGCAGCTTAAATTTGAAAAGCTGTGGCTGATGCTTATTTTAAATTATTTTGTTTATGTTCTTGTGATGGATTTTGTTAGTATAATGAATTCTTAGTTAAACACTATTGATTTCTTTGATGCTTGTACATTGATATGTGTGGAAGGTCTTGCACCATGCACATGACTCTTGATATGAGATAAATGGAAAAATGTCAAATTAATACTTCAATTCCAAGTGAGCATACTAATGAATCATTGCATGGTATATTACAGTGGAAGAGCTCAACAAAAGTTGACTCTGTAGGTGATGAAGACTGCCATGAAGTTAGTATAAGAACCAGAGTGGTGGAGGATTTTTTTGCTGTATCTTCTTCCCAGATCCACAGTTCCCTGTCATTGCAATGAACTTTGCCAACTCCAGCTAGTTGTAATTAAAGAAAATTCTAAATTATGTTTCTAAGAAAATTGTCTCAGTATGACTTCCAAAAAAAAAATCTAAATAAAAATACACAAAGATGTGCATTTATTTCAAGTGTTATGGATACCACTCATTTCTTAGAGGTATAGGCACAGAGATACATCTTCATTCCCTACTTGCCCCATATTTTCACTGTACTCCTTACAGCCCTTGTAACCTTTGGAACAGCATTTGATATTTCAGTAAATCCAGCTATCACGCAGCAGTTATGTTGATTTCCACAGTGAACTGGTATTACTTGGGTTCACTGAATTGATAGAGGCTTGAACCAGAAAAACTTCAGTCACAACAGACTTTGAAGTCATAACTGAAGTATTTGTTGTTAGGATGCATTGTTAACAGGAAATGTAAGGCACATCATGGAAAACAGAGTTGCTTCTGTTTTGAAGAGGTATTTCTTCCTCCTTAACATACAGGTTAAGAAGGATAGCATCTTGCCCATGCTGTTCCTGAGCTGGGGAACTTAGAAGCATCCAAACAACAGTGAAGCACTAGTGTACCATTCCTATAGTATTATCAATATTATAGTGTATACATAGTATATAGTGTATATATAGTGCCTATACACTATATAGGATAGTAGTATAGCATAATATTATAGCATTGTAGTTATAGCATTATGATATAGTGTGTCTGTGCTACTGACATGCAGGCTTTGTTCAAAAATATGTACCAGGTGAATTCACGAAGGTCAGGGCTTTAGTTCTATTAGAATGATTGAGATAAAAGTAGACAGGGAAAGTAACTGGATGGAGTAAAAGGACACTGCAAAATCTAAGACCTTTCTGTAGGACAGCAGAAGGTCTGAGGGAAACTGTGGTCAATTGTCATATGAGGGAGAGAAAATCTGGGAACAGAATCTGAGATAGAGTTGGTTGGACAAGGAGTTTCTTGATTATTGTCATAAAGAGAGCATGTAAAAGGAATGAAAGAAGAAAGGAAGCAAAAAGTGATGGGTTTGGAGAACCCAAAGAGTTCAAGAAAGCATGTTACTCACTCTTATGGATAAGAGGAATTGGATGGAGCATATGTGTCAGCTGGCCAGCATCCAGATGTTGTTTGGGACCAAAAATAAGCAGACCTCCTCCCTACTTCCAGTCAAAAGAGCCCTGAAAATTAAGTTGGAAAAACAAACTCTGAACCTGTTAAATGCAGACAGAAGAAAGGAGGAATTCAAAAGGGTAAAAAGGGACTTAGAGGATGGATGAGAAATTGAAGAGATTGATAAAGAGTAGGGTGTAGAAGTGGAAGGATAAAAAAAGCAAGGAAAATGAGAAAAGAGGTGATGGGGAGACAAGCTATATAAATAGTGAATGTTTCTCAAGGTTTTTGTACTCAGAGTTTTTACATGTCTTCTGTCCTAAGTCTGCTGACATAGATAAAATTTTACGAGCAGGGTTTATTTGACAGTCAACAGAGAGAATATGATAAAATCTCAATAAATAAGAAAGACCTTAAGAGCTGAGAGATGTGTAGATTTGGAGGTTTTTTGATTCTGACTGCAATATCTCGAAGAGATATTTCAAGAGATATTATGTTTATGATAATAAATTTTAAATGAAAGAACTATCAAGAAAAAAAATCACAAAAAGTACTTTTTAGTCTCATTTGAGTTACACAAAATGAACTCAGTCACTTCATAACCTTTTATTCTAGCTCCTTTTTATAAGTTTGGTTTTATAATTTAGGTGATGGTAATGTCATCAAACCTCTCTATCAGCATGGTATTAAGTGAAATTAGATCTAGGTAAAATGATCTTATGATAACAAGAAAGGTATGGAAGGAGCAAACATTCAGTGACAGATTCTTCCCCACACCAAATATGGAGGAGTCTTCTATTGTTATATGTTGAATATGGTCAGAATTTTGCATGATTATGTCCATTCTCTTTCCCTTTTTCTTGTGAACTAGCTTTTGCTTTTGTCAACTTTTCTTCCATAGCTTTAGCACCTCTGGCTCAATTGTCATAGAGATACTCAAAGAAATCTGTGAATATTCGCACAGATATTTTTTTTTTCCGCAGTGCCAAAGTTGTCTGTTGCAGTATGAACTGATGACAATACAGTGTTGTTTCAGTTTATTCTCTCTTCCAAAGGTAGAAGCCATGCTAATCATATTAGTTTATTATCAAGGAAGTACGTGTTGCCTATTGGAAAAATACTGGGGCTTCTAAATAGAATGAGGTAGAGGGTGAATAATGACATGGGATGTACCAAAGGGCAGTTTTGTGATACAAGTTGGAATTAGTGGGAATGAGGGTAGTAGCTGACTGCTGCTTGTGTGTGTCTTGCATGACAAACAGCACTATTAAAGTATATATCAAGATTTTTGCTTTTTCTAGGGAATCTACTAGGGAATGCTGGGCTCAGTATCCATGCATATTGTTAACCTAGAGCAGAACACTCCAGTAACAGTTGCTCTTGTGTGTTGTAGACATTCCTCTGATAAACTTTTTAAGGCTCTAGATATGAGGTGTCCGGTATGCATCTACGTACTGACGGTAATATAAATATTGTATTTCTGACCTTCAGATTTTCTCTCCTGATCTGTGCTTAAATGATATATTTGCCATCTTGTCACTGATGACATTCTGTCTGCCTTGTCTAACATTGTTATACCATGATTCCTTATGATCCCATTGTCATGGGAATGCTATATTTCAAATGATGAACATTCTTTGAAGCAATGTGGGAAATAAACACACTGGTTAAACATTTACAAGACTTTTTGTTGCAATTTTGTTGTAAAATGCTTTCTTCAGTGTCCAGTATAATTGATTATATAATTTTGATGTATCTAAGAACACCGCTGTTTTATCAGATAATGTAAAGGAGGAGGAGCTACTATTCAGGTGGATACCAAGTATCTCAGTTATGGTTTTATTCAGATATTCCCTTTTGATTTCCCATGCACTTCATTACTGGGATTTACAAGACAATAAACTGAATAGTAGTGGAAATAAAAGCTTTGTTTTCCTTCAGGTGGTGAATGCTTTGCTTCTCTAGAAATGTTCTTTAGAACTGGTGAAAGTTAACCACTTCTAGAGAAGTGAACCATAAGCCATATGAGGTGAGAAAGAGAAGAAATGAACACAGAAGTTTTGCACTGGTATATTTTCTTTCATATGCTTGTTTTTGAACACACCTCAGAAGCTCCCCTACCTTAGAATTCTATGTCTGTTCTCAAAAGTTGATTGGATGTATGATGTGAATGAGACCTTAATAATGTTACATACATTCCTGATTAATTGAAGTCTATTTTGATTCTAGTATTTTATGAAAAGTCAGTGGGAGTTGTTTATGAATAACCTTCATGTCCTCATTCCTTTGTTATTAAAAAGAAATGAAATGAGAACTTAAACATAAAAAAAAAAAATGTCGACAATAAATGTCAGTGATAAAAACCTCACCACTGACCTTCAGAACAGTGAGATTTGACTATGATGTGATTATCCTCTGAGGTCAGAAGTTACAAATAGGATGATGTAGTGATGACTTTAGTCCTCTGCAAACTACACATTTTGTATAAAATCCCATGCCTCATTTGCCACATCTTTTCCACTGTCCAAAG